AGAAAGGTCACCTGTCTATAGAGGTCATGCCTTTTGACTCCCGAGAGAGAGAGGGAGACAGAGAGAAAGAGAAAGAGAGAGACAGAGAGAGAGAGGACAGAGAGAGAGAGAGAGAGAAAGAGAGAGAGAGGGGAGAGGGAGAGAGAGAGAGACACACACACACACAGATGTGTGTTGTAGAACCTGTCTACAGTGGCCACTTTTTCTGTTTCCCTGGGGTGGCCTTAATAGACAGGTTTGACAGTATATGAATACATGAATAAAGTAAAAATCAATGAGCTTCAACTCGAAACAAAATATAAGGCGCGTTATAATTGTGATCTATTATTATTTATTATAATTATTGTGAATGAACATATCTTTAAATGATAGTGAAATATAATCAATGCAGATTGATGGTTTGATATGTGCAGATCAGGTTTTTTTTTCTTTGTTATTGTTGTCTTTGTACATATAAGAGTTTGGATTCTGCCTTTGTGTCTGCTATCAATGCTAGGGCTCATCATATCTCACTCACACTGTGAAACCCAAATCAAGACCAATTCCTGGTCATAGGTGTAATATAAATTCAAGTTCTATTGTTGATATGCTGTCATTTTTTCTGATATACAACTTGTTTTGTACTTTTTAAGTGCAAATTGACAAAAAATGACAAAATAACAATAAAACTCACTTCTAAAAAAATTATCATTTACTTACCTTGATTACTTCCATGGTTTGGTGTTTGAACTAAAAATAGTAATTAAAAAAAGATAAAAACAAAACACAATTTAATCAACAAATTGGAATCTAAATGGTTATATTATCTACCTCTGTTCAAACGCAACACAAAGGGCAAGTCCTAAAAAATGAACACACTGTTATCTTATTCTCAATGGGGGGGGGGGGGGGGAATAAAACACTTTAAAGGTGAAATTCAAAGAAAATCACAAATATGTCAACTAATGTATCACTAGAAACTGGTAAGCTAACAGATGGCCATCGTACACGTTTTAGGTCAACTACATATCGGGTGATTTATAAAACTACAAATACAACCCCCTCCATAGCAGCTGGGATATACGAGAGATTCGCTCTAAAAATAACGATGTTTTAATGACGTCACTATATGGACCAATACTGCCCAAGCAGACGACATCCCATAAAGAATGAACATAATTGCAAAGCTATTATTTGTCAAATTATAGTGAGTTTAGTGTATGTAAATGTGATGGCATGTCAAACCATTCAAAAGGGGATATGACCCGATTCTGATAACTAAAATCTTTTGCTTGTAAATACACAGGATAGGGATTAATTAACAATCAAAGAAACCAGACTTTTAAATTGAAAAACCCCCGGAATGATATTAAGGACGGCATTTGTTCCCTCTTGAAACGCCAAACATACCGCGGTGTGTGCAGCTGAATATACAATGGCGTCTTATTTTGTTTACAAGCGACAGATTCCTTTATTTTTGTATTGCTGCATTTTTCATCAAGATAAGACCATGCGTGGGGTTTAGAGTGAGGAAATAGATTATACATTTAGCCTGATGGTAGTGAAGTAAGAGAAAGAGCTCAAGAGAAGATGAAAACACAGGCACTGAAAATGTGTGAGATGTCATGGGACATCGTCTGCTTGTGCAAATCATGTCCATACTGTGATCTCACACATCTCGGCAGCGTTCGGAGAGCTCTTCAGGTGCTATGTCGGGGCTGTATTTAAGCGTTTTGTAATTTATAATAATCATTACTTTAAATGTTTCCAAGCATTGAATTTTGATAACCTTGTCGAATCAAAGTTTCAACTTTGCAATAATGAAAATAAAGTTCGTTTTTAAAATCAATGAATATCTACTTTAAATATGATATATACTGGTAGGTTCTTAGAAACAACAATGACATTTCAAGAAAAATTGAATGCTCAATGAACACTATCTGAATTCTGAACAAACCATAGCATTTTAATAAAGAAATTTTCTTATTGAATGTCATACTGCATGGTGAAACTAGACTGGTTCTTATGTAATTCTTCTTTGCAATGTGTTATTATAGAAAATTAATATTTGAAGCTCATATTTTGTGTATCTGAGTATGGACCCATTTACAGACAGTATTTTCTGGGTGATTATAGGTACACTTTAAAGAGATCCGGTAACTTTGTCTCAGATTCTGAAACAAAATCTTGGATTCAGCTCATGCTGCAATGATAATTATAAACCTTTAGATCAGTCAGGGACCCTATGACTTTTACAAGCCAATCGCCTGTCTGATTATCAAGATATTTATGATTGGAAATTGAAACCAAATTTTGCATTTTCCTAACGGTTTTCATAACACCACAGTCTATTGGGGAAAACGAGTTTGGTAAAACTGGTCACTCAAAGATTTTAACTTTTTTGAGGCACTTCTTGATCATACTGAAGCGCAATTTTTTTAGGGCTTCAATATTACACCATATGACAGACACTGATAACAGGGCCGTGCATCTCAGATTTAACATTGTTAAACGATGCCTTTAAGAAGTTAAGATGAAATGCTTACTTGGCGCTTCGGCACATTCACATATCTCACAGCCATCGCTGTTTAGCTTGAAGCCAAACCGGCAGAACATCTTACAATTCATGTGCCGTTCACAGACAACTAAGAACAGATGACAAAAAATTTCAAGAAATGTTAATACACTACATGGCATATATAAGAGCAGTTGTCTTTCTCTGGCTTACTAACCAGAGCTACATTGAGTACCCATCTCACTGGATTGAACAAGTAATCTTGACAGATGCATCCCCAAAAATGGCTTTTAGAATAAAACAATTTATACAAATGGAAAAGTAATGACTGCGAAATGAGGTACACAGATATACATTTATCTTAAATGGGCAACATTGAAAATTTCACAAACTTTTTTGAATATACATGTCCAAGGTGGTTTTTTTCTTCAAATATTTTACAACAGTTTATTCTAACCCTTTCCTCTTCAGATCCGATTAAAAGAATACAGTACCAACAAAGGGAAAATACAAATCTTGTCAATTTGACAAAGGACAGGTGATCAATTTAGCCTTTTGATTGGATTGGATTAAAGGTAAAGACCAGTATTGGAAATGCCCCAATTTCAAAAAATGAAATGGAAGCTCTCACTACCAATCATGTGAAAGAATATGTTTTGACTAATACATGATGATAAAAAATTCGCCAGGAAACCATCCTACTAATTCATATATTTGGTAAATTTGTTTCTCTCATGGTCTGTGAGAGATATAGGGTAGTCCCATATACATCTTTCTGTGTATAGTGCTTGTAACTTTACGAAGAATGGGCCAAATTTCTTATCATTTTGATGATTCCAGAACCTTGCAGATGTTAGATGCTAGATGATCAACCTTTTCTGATCGATTCCACAACGTTTCTTTCACAATGCAATCGCATGACCATAACTGGTCTTTACCTTTAAGGATCCCTATAAACCTGAATGGGTTAAAAGCTATTTTTATCCTACCTTTTCCTTCCACGAGGCTAACAGGTGCTTCTGGGATCATCTGACCAGCAACAGGGGGTGGTGAACCTGAAGTTTTACATTCAAAGTGGGGACATATACATATATTAGAGATATCATGAAAGATGTAACCATTGTAGAGGTGTTGTGGTCTAGTGGATAAGTCACCTGACTGCAGATTACAAGGTACGGGGTTCAAGTCCCGCTGTGGCACTAACGTCCTATTGCAAGGCGTTAATCTACATTTGCCACTTTCCACCCAGGTGTAAATGGGTACCTGATATGCTTGAGCACTATTTACTTTGGCAGCTCGGCTTTGACCAGGGTAATTTGTGTAAAGCGCCATGAGCGTCAGAGCCTGGCGGATACCGGCGCTATATAAATATCCATATTATTATTATGATTCCCTTGTGATGATAGATGTAAGGTTTGTAGTTACACCACATATTCTAACACTAATGGTTACCCTGTCGAAAGAATTGTGGTGTAACTGCAAACCTCACTCAAATCATGAAAGATTGTGATGCAAAAATGACCTGTGACTTCTAATTAACTTCCTTGTTTCAATGTTAAGCAGAATTACATTTGTTTTTGATTTTTTGTTCAACTTTAGTTTGTATACACTATTTTTCTTTCACTTTAAAAGAACATTAAATTTACTTTAGACAGGTAACGTCAATCAAGATCAAGGATTTGATATTTACAAACAATAATCCTATATGTAACTGACTCATGTTATTTTTTAAAGGTACTATTTAACTTTCTTTTAGTGATACTCAAAAAGTCTGCCATGGTGCAACACTGTTTTAAAAGTCAAATTGGGAGTTTTTAGCTAACATATTACTTTTTAATGTGTCCAATGAGGTATATACCTCTTTTGAGATTTGTCAACATTATTCAAGTACAAGTGCCAGACTCAACAAATGTTATCTTTACAGAGTATTTAACTTGGTGTCTGTCTTCATTCGCTTTTCTGAACAATTTGGATGAACAAAATTTCATTCGCCCCCAAATTACATAAGAACCTTTAACTTACAATTCAATTAAAATCATATCTTCTTTTGTGAAATGGAGTATTTAGAGTAAAGTCATATTCCCTCTTCAGTCCAAATTTTCTTTGACAATACTTACGGGGACAGTTGGAGAAGTCAGCATCAATGGCTGCCTCACCAGAGAGGAGGCAGCAACCAAATCCTACATCCTCACAACCCATCACATCAACTGGGGCTAGATGGAAACATTTCGAAAAGAGAAATTCACAACAGATTCTAGCAGTTGAAATGTAGAAGGTCAACCCTTCATGAAAGTTTCATGTTATCCGAGTTTCTTGTATTACCAAGGAGATATAATTCATAACTCCTTGGTATTACAGTAAACAAAACAAAAGACTGCCAAACCTAGAGACAAGACTACAAAGGTTATGACCATAAAAGATGATAAAAATGATGATAATTTATGTCCTCTGGGTTTCATGGTTTTCTATTTTTGGGGGTTGTTAAATTCATCATTTGATGAACTTTTATAGTGATTTGCATATAATATAGATAGAGAACAATATTTCAATTTTAAATAGCAAAGAGTAAGTACAGAAAAGAGGAAGAGAGAGAGGGAGAGAGAGAGGGGGAGAGAGAGAGAGATTGAGTGGGGGAGGGGTTAGGAAGGGATGGGAGAGAGAAAGAGAGAGAGAGAGAGAGAGAGGGGGTGGGGTATACAAAGTATTTTCTGGTTACCTGGTTCAGGAATAGGTTCCTTTGGACATGGAGCTGTAATGTAAAACAAACAAAAAATAAAAATAAAGCTGCTAAACACATGACCCAATTCACTCTGGTTTCTTTTTTTTTACATTATCTTGCTGTCCTTAAGACTTAGGACTGGTACTGTTTTTTAATGAAAGATTTTATTCAATCATTCACAAACAAAAGCAACTAAAATGAAATAGCAACAGATGCTTGCTGTGACAAATCAGTAAAAGCAAACATGTTTAGAGCTAATCTTGCATGTGTCATATTATCTAGTGATAAAACAGACTTATGTTTACTAAAAAGTACCCGCTCAACTTTTTGTTCTCAACTTCATATTATCAAAAGAAGTTAAAAATAAACTTCTCCTTTACATGTAGCAGAGTATACATGTTTCACATATGAAATAACGAGGTTAAAGGGAAATATCTTGGTAATCAAACAGGCGATTGGCTTGTAAAAGTCATTGTATGGCTGACCTAAAGTTTATAATCACGATTGCATCAGAATATAAGTCAATTTTTTTGGGGAGATCCGAGGCAAAGTACTTTGGTTTTCTCTTTAAAGAAGAGAACTTTAGAAATCTTGAATGAATTGATGCATAAAAGGGCAATCCCAAAACAAGTGTGAAACACTTTCAACAGAGGATAAGCAAAATGTACATCAATTAGAATCAGACTGCGTGGTTCTTGTTAGGAGGGAAGTAGGGGTGGGGTAATATTTCAGGTGTGGGGGAGGGGAGGGGGCAGATTTTCATGGATGCAGTTTGTAGCCCTGTCTTATAAAGAGTTGATATCGCAAACTTGCGATTGATTCATAGTAGAGGACTTGTGATTATGATCCAAATCAATCAGAACTCTTTATAAGACAAGGACCTGGGGGTTACAAGTTGTCTTACAATCATTACATACAGTATATTAAAGCCTGTATGCACAAGTTTGGCCAGGGGGATTAGACCTCCCCACAAGGTCACTGGTAGGTGGTTATCTCATCAAATCAGCTCTCAATTAACATAAGAAAAAGAGGATCATGAGGGACCAACTGGCACCGATTACCGGTAGACATTGTTTGCTATATAGAGGGCACAAGTAGCTACAAGTAGTGCAGTGGGGCTTTAAACTAAGCTTCCTAGCTGACCTGGGTTAGCACGGACCACCGCCTGGTCGATGCAAGCATCCTCGATGACCCGCTGGATGGTAGCCCAGAATGTGGGCTGGATCTGCCTCTCTCTACCCAAGATCCAGAGACCCATGGCCATAGGGTCACAGCTCCCATCCCTGTTGATCCTGTGGCAGGTGTAGGTGATGGCATAGTTGAGGTAGTCCGTGTCCAGCACCCAGTGGTTCACTGCATGTACAAAGAGATTACAAATTATACACTCAAACCTGTCTATAAAGACCGCCCAAGGGAAACACAAAAAGTGGTCTTTGTAGACAGATGGTCTTGGTAGACAGGTTTCTTTTAGTACATGTTTCAATGAGAAACTATTTTCAAGGGAAACAAAAAATGTAGTCTTTTAGACAGGTGGTCACTAATTAAGCAGGTTTGACTGCATGTACTAGTGTGTGAAATGGACATTTTTGACAAAAACATCAATAATAATAATACATTTATAATATTGGGAATTTATGGACAACCAAACATTCAGCTTTCACGGAAGAAATATATTCTTTCTTTCTCAATTAAGGAAATAATGTAAGAAAACAAATTGTTTCAGATCTCTCATTTTAAAAAGATTAAATTTCCAAGAATTCAAATACATAAATCACTTAAAAGTGATTAAATCTAAAAGTTCCCTACTAGTTGGCACATTTACAAATAAAGAAATTATTCCTTTACCATACCCCTGCAAAATGGTCACCAAATATATTTCAAAACTATTAATTATATTTGTCTATGTAAATTCTTGGTATATGTCTTCTATGTACAGGTAGGCTAAGAAAAAAAAGAAAATATTTCCTTTTTTACCTCCAGACAGTAAGTAAAAGAGAGGGGGGATGATAATGACTCTGAAGAAATCTGCCCTCGTAGAATCAAATCAACAAAAGCTAGTAACAAACGATTACCTACCTACTTGTGGAACTTGATACCCTTCTGGTATGAGAGGGAAAGAAACGACAATCTTAGCAGGCTCTTCCCGGCCTATCCAACCCTTGCCTGGCATATCGCTTGCATTGCAGTCTCCATCCCTACATGGTGGAAAGGTGGAAAACAAAAAGAGATGCAATAGTAGATTTACATGTACTGGGTATTATCTCTAGTGGTCAAATGAAGACAATGCAATTTGGGCCACCCAAGATGGCAGTGCCTTCAAGGGAGTGGAATGTTCAATGGGTAAATTACAAATTTAAAGAATCAAATGGCAGGTTATATGAACACCATGAATTGATTAGAAATGGAAAGGGAAAAGTAACATATATGTATTAACACCCAAAAAATTTTTTTTCCAGTACCAGCACCATCATATAAGGTTGTGGTCTAGTGGATAAGTCACTGGACTACTGACCACAAGGTACGGGGTTCAAATCCCAGTCCTTTGGGCAAGATGTTAACTTACATTTGCAACTCTCCACCCAGGTGTTAAATGGGCACCTGGAAGGATGCGAACGTTAATATAGGTTGCTCAGCATTGTAAGCATCTGTAAATTGACGCCTGGCTGGAATGCTCCCCAGGGAGTGGAGAATGTGCAAACATTGCGTGTGGGCAAGCTTGAATCCAATAACCGGGGTTATGATACATCTGTAAAGCGCTTAGAGACATCGTCGATGTGCTATACTAACGCGGAATATTATTAATATTATGATCATCATTACTCACATTCTAATGTTCTTCATGGTGATTGCGATGTGGCCATCGTTGTCCCCAGAGGGAGCCATAATCGACATCTTCTCGTTGTCTGGTAGTACCATGTGGTTCTCACCACGAGTGTGGCTCAACTCATACCAGTCTCCCATAAACTGAGAGAGAAAAAGAAGAGGCAGATATTTAAGGAGGAACAATATACGTAGAGGGACTGAAGATTAAAATGATGTGATGAAAACAGTAGAGTTGGAGCAAGGGAGAGATGGGAGAAAGAGATGGGGGTGAGAGAGGGGAGAGAGAGAGAGAGGAGAGAGAGAGGGGGAGAGAGGGGGAGAGAGGGGAGAGAGAGAGAGAGAGAGAGAGGAAGAGAGAGAGGAAGAGAGAGATGGGGAGAGAGAGGGGGAAAGAGAGAGAAAGAGAGAGAGAGAGAGAGGGATATAGAGTTAGAGAGGGAGAAAAAGAGAGGGGAGAGAGAAATAAAGAGATAAAGAAAGAAAGGGAGAGAGAGAGAGAGAGAGAGAGAGTGGGGAGGGGGCAAGACAACAAAAATGATATCATATTTATAATCATATTTATAACCATATTAGAATATCACTGACAACCTGATGGTGCATTTATGTGCAAGACATCACATTGGCGGAACATCAGTACAATGAATATCAGGTATGCATGAGAACTAAGCCAACGTAGGATTAGAATGTAACACTCAACATAAAGATTATTCATCCATCTTACCTTATCAATGACAAAGTTTTCTTTCACTTGGAAGGTTGAAATATCACATTCACTCCTTGCTGCAAACATGAAGAAGAAAAAAAACGAGAACAAAAAACAACAAATAATCGAATTAGCAAAAAAGATGTTTAGGTCTACAATAAAGATGTTATAGAATATTAAAAGATAACTTATAATGCTCTATTATCATATCTGTTGTCGTTTCAGTAAAATTTCTTCCATATATATGCCAATATTTTCAGAAACAGATATAATATAGATAATAATGAGGACAAATAGGGGGAAATTTACCTGGTTCTGAGCTGATACCAATTGCAGCATCACATTCTGGAAATACAATGCAGAGAAAATAAAAGCAGTTTTTATATCAGAATTAAGAAAATGACATAAATTTAGTTAATTTGTATGTCAAATGTGATGGTTATGTATTCATTTACATTTTTAACTTTATAATTTCATGATGAAGTTTATAACGATTTTGTTATTTAGCCTTTGGTTTGAATGTGTATTCTTACTATACAGATGCATGTAGCCTTCACTTTGATATACACAAATTAAGATCAAGTGAAGGTTCTATTTACCCATTTTCTAACAGGTCATCAATAAAGTTTAATTGTGTACTGCTTTTTCTAATGTTTATAGATGACATCCCTGAAAGTTTTTAATCCAACGATTAGCAATTAGCTATATCACTATATAACCATAGACACTATCAACTAAAAGGAGGACAAATTTGAAAAGTAATCCATAGGAATTTAATATCAAAAGGTCTTGATAATTTAAAGGCTGTCTGTACTAATTTGGCTAGGAGGGATTAGACCACCCACGGAGGTCACTGGCAGGTGGCTATCTCATCAACTCAGCTCTCAATTGAAAAAGAGGATCACGGGGGACCAACAGGCACCAAATAGACACTGTTTGCTATATAGAGGGAGCAAGTAGCTATAAGTAGTACAGTGGGGCTTTAATATTCACCCGTGATAACATCCCTCAGTCTTGCTGGGTTCACACACAGCTGACGGAGAATCTGTTTCATATGCATGATAGCGTGCTCGCTCAGCCCAGGATTCCTAGACATAAACCAGGCCATGGAGTACCCTCTCATACACTCCCCGCTCACGTTCTTCCGGATGCAGCTGTATACCAGGGCGTGGTCGGTGTAGTCTGTGTAGGCTACCCAGTAATTGCCTGAGAACAATAATGTAACAAGAATACTTTATTCAACATTATATTCTTTTGAAATGTGTAAAATGTGCAATGTTTTGTTTGTTACATATTTGTAAAAATACAAAAGAAAAAGAAAATCAAACAGAAATAAATAAATCAAATCAAATCAAATAACACAATGGATGATCATGCATGGTCTAAGGAAAAAATGAGAACCAAATGCTCTTTATAATGGAATTTAAAGCTCTAAAATAGCAAAGCAATCCAATCTTTTTCCATTTTATAGGCATTTGAAAGTATATGCAATATAATACCTATTACAAAATGGATGATGTATGTGATTCTTTTAATGTAGACACTTGTTGAAAATCACAATCAATTTTCATTTTACTTTTTGAATTCCAGTAAACTTTAACCTAGCACTATGATTCAGGATAGCATCTCATGTATTTTCAAAGTCATGATGTGAACTTCATTCATTACATACCCTTAATTTAAGATCTTGTGGGCATAAGACATGGGATAAAGACGGATTTTCAATTCAAATACAAATAATTTTTAACTTAGTACATAACATCAAATAGAAAATATGGTATGGAAAGAATGTTGAGTAAAAAACATTAAACATTTCTTGTATTAATAGTAATATGAAATAGAACTATAATGTTACCTTACTTTGGTTTTCAACTCCATACAGTAATTATTAGAAATTCTCACCCCCAAGAAATAACTTAAGTTATTCTGAGAGATTAATTGTATTTTTGCCCATTTATCTACAAGATTCCCCACCAAAGTGTATGTATTGTTTTATCATGATAAGCAAAATGATACTTCTCACCAAGCAAAATTTTTCAAATTTCAATGCAATATATGAAAGACTGAACTAAACCACCAGGGGAGTGTTTCACAAAGATCCTAAGTTGAACTTACCTCTAAGTTGGATTTAACAATTATGGAAAGCCGTTAGAATCTATGAAAAGATTTTGTTTAATTATTTTAAAAAGGCATAAAATGTTGATTCAAATCATTCATATTTTCTATTATCATGGGAGATTTCATATTCTTAATGTGGAATTTATGAAAAGTCTAAAATACTTGATTTTTTTTGCTTTTGAATATATTTCATTATAATGCTACAAATGGCTCTCCATAATTGTTAAGTCCAACTTAGATATAAGTTTAACTTAAGATCTTTGTGAAACACCCCCCAGATTTAAATATAATAAAAAACAACGTTTATCTTACCTGGAGGTACTCTATTATCAAGGGGTTGAAGGAAGAGCTTTCCATTTATTGGCATGGTATCACCTTCCTCTCGCTGGAGATGGAAAGCATGGGCATCAAAATGCATGGTGGAACAATTTCCTGGTCTACAAAGATAAAGATAAAAAGAATGAAAAAATAAATGATAACGACAATGACGATACCATGATATGGTTGTGATGGTGATAATGGTGATTTATTTATTTGTTTGTCGTTTTATTTTGACAGGGTAGCCCTTTGAGTTATAAAAACTGCTTGACCAAGGGGGCCTGCATCATCATAATCAAAAACATATTTACAAAACATATATACATACATAAGTTATAATCATGGTGATAATGGTGATGATGGATGATGTTAAAGGTGATGTTTAGTTTGATAGATCTACCCGCCCGACTCCTGCTGCCTGATGCATGCATCAGCAGGTAGATCTATCAAACTTCATAACAATTAGCTTGGAATTTGACTTCTGAGTGCATGCATGCTATTAAACAGGTGTGTCAACTATTCAATTCACTTCTACCTTTATAAAGTGTTAAAAAGAACTTGCTATATCTCTTAACAGAAGTGGAATTAAAAAAAAAGAAAGATATATATTCTGAATAGTATACTTCTACCTGCATAGAACCCCCAACACGAGCAAAAAATATTTTGGTTATTGGTCCCTTTAAGGAACTGTACTGCATCGAGCTGTATATAACAACTCTATGCTTTACCCTCCTCTAGATGCTGAACAGGTGTTGATGAGTATTACCATAGAAGTAGAAGTAGAAGTAGAAGTTAAAGCATGCATCAATTAACCTATACAAAGAAAGAAACTGGAAGATGAATATATAAAACAAACCTGAAGAACTGATCAGTCGACATGAGGAGTCTTCCATTATCTTGGAGGTTGTAACTTGAGACACGATGGAAGGGATACTCAAACGGTTGAATCTGGGAGACAGTGTACCAATCTCCTGCATACTGTAATCGGAATAGAAATATACTCAGAACATTCAAAACTTGTCTTAAGACACATTTATTCAAAATTGCTTTGATGATTAACTTACTCTGTTCACATTGATGTATATTTCATATGTATTGTAATTTGTAGGTTTATTTGCATTTTATTTTTGTTTTGTTTAATGTGTAATTTGTTATCATTGTACTTTGTTTGTTATAGCAATTAGAGACTTCCGTGGTAAGTGCTTTATAAGCATCGTTTTTATTATTATTATTATTATTATTATTATTATTATTATTATTCTAATTCACCATTTCTTTCTGTAAAAACAATCTTCAGTTAAAAAAAGAAGATAGAGCAGCCTATGGAGGTGTCGTGGTCTAGTGGATATGTCACCGGACTGTGAATCACGGTTCAAGTCCCGCTGTGGCACTAATGTCTTTGACAAGACATTAATCTATATTTGCCACATTCCACCCAGGTGAGGTAAATTGGTACCCAGCAGGAATTAATTCCTCAACATGCTAGAGCGCTATAATGGCAGCCATGCTAAAGCCGAGGTAACATTTGTGAAGCGCTAGGAGTGTCAAAAACCCACTGCAATCCTACAAATGATGGGGGTAACAAGTGTTTATAGACATATGCATTTTCCAATGAGCTCCATTGAGAGGATAAATCAAGTTTGATTTTACCCATTCAGGCATACATGTAGCTGACATTAAATAACCAAGGTAACAGATTTGAAGTCAAATTAAACAAGTATAAGCAGTGACACTTACCCGGGCAATATCGAAATCTTCCATGATCGGCAGCTCATCCACAACACAAGACTTGGCTATCTCCACCACTTAAATACAAACAAAAAATCAAGTGAATATTGAACCAAACATGTTTTCACCTTTCTGAATGTTTAGCTTAGAGGGGAATCTCTAACCTAATTTTCATTCCCAGTAACACACTGACTACAGAGTTTTTCTGACTGCCATAGGCTTACAATAGGGACCGCCCAGTTTCCGTAGGTAATGGGTTTAATACTAAGGACATTGACTTGTATTGTGCATTGCAAAAGTCTCTCTACAAAAATAGTCCAACAACCTCCAGCTAGTACTTCAATCTAAAATAAGCTTCACATTATTAGTGGGAACCTTACCTGTTCATGTAAATCAAATTTTAACTTCCCGGCATGATGGTTATAAACACAGATACATGTAGTAAGAGGTAACATTATGCATGTATTAAGTGCATTAAAGCCCCACTGCACTACTTATAGCTACTTGCGCCCTCTATATAGCAAACGATGCCTAATCGGTGCCTGTTGGTCCCCCATAGTCCTCTTTTGCTTATGTTAATTGCTAGCTGATTTGATGGGATAACCACCTGTCAGTGACCTTGCAGAGAGGTCTCATTCCCACTTGAGTAGTTAATAACTTAGAGAGTATATTTGCGGTACAACAATGGGGATAGTTCTTAAAAGGACTGTTCGTATTCTTTCCTGTTGATTGAGTAGTTACTATTTCTATGGTACTCACAACATTTGTATTTGTATTTTTTAACATTTATTTCCTTCTCAACAGTACAATATGAAACACAATGTATATACACATGATATAATTATGTAACAATTATTTCAACATAGAGTATACAGTAAATAATTCAGATACGGAAGGAGGCGAAAACCCGGAAAGCATAGCTTGAGTTGGGAACGCCCATAATAAGTTAACACAGTTACCGAGAAAACAGTATAGATATTATTATGAAAATTACATTTTATATAACAGAATGTTGATGGGAAAGAAAAAACAGTAAATTACAATTAATTCCTTCCAAACATTTTGAATGTTGAACATACCTGGTCTTCTGATTCCCATTTCGAGGAAAGGATCACATTCTATATGGAGAGAAATAAAATAGAAAACAAAAAACCAATAACAGCCTGTTACAGTTTCTCATCTCAAACAAGTAGGACGCTTAGCATAGATTTGCATAGAGTGGCTGCAAGATCCGCACATAATTGAAAAACAAGTCATAAAATATATAGAATATTTCAGCATCAGTCATCCATTAAAGAAAAAGTATTCTAACTAGTTCAAGTTTGAGAAAACTCTGAATAAAAACAGATCAACAATGTTCAATGTACGTTGAAGGAAAATTAAGTAATCTATATAGAGGTTAAATATATTCAAAAGGATAATATATGTATTGTATGGCTAATATATTACACATGAATAACAAATAACGTGAATTAAGACATTCAAGTATATTGATAGATGACTAGATGAATGGATTCAGTCAGATAGGAGGATTTACAGATGGATAAATAGAAAGAAAGATGAATAGGATAGCAAGATACATGTACATAGAGATACATAAAAATTAACAGAAAGATATATATTTTTTTTAAAATATAACTTTCTATAAGATAGATTGACAGATCGATTGATGGATAAAGAAATATAATCATCGATTAGAACTGAAAACTTACCAGATGGGACTGCAACCATGTCACGGGGATCAACGCACACACCCTCAAGAAGCATGTTCACATGCCTCATTGCTTGTTCAGACAGCGAGGTATTACGGCTTAGGATGTAAGCGTGAACAGCACCCTTATTATATAATCATTGATTAGAACTGCAAACTTACCAGATGGCACTGCAACCATGTCACGGGGATCGACGCACACCCCCTCAAGAAGCATGTTCACATGCCTCATTGCTTGTTCAGACAGCGAGGTGTTACGGCTAAGGATGTACGCGTGAACAGCACCCTTACTATATAATCATTGATTAAAACTGCAAACTTACCAGATGGCACTGCAACCATGTCACAGGGATCGACGCACACCCCCTCAAGAAGCATGTTCACATGCCTCATGGCTTGTTCAGACAGTGAGGTATTACGGCTAAGGATGTAAGCGTGAACAGCACCCTCTTTACACGTTCCGTCAAGTTTCCTGTCGTTGCAGCTGTAGATGAGGGCGTGGTCAGTGTAATCGGTGTACACCACCCAGTAATCCTCTGGAAATGTGGAGGAAAAATAGAGAAAAGACTTGAAGAGAAACTCGGAAGACTGAGTATAGAAACGATCTAAGTTTCTAAAAAGCAAATGGTCCTGCTATTCAGTCAGCTCATAATTAGTGCGCTGTTGAAAAGTGCATATACTGTGTCAACATAGAAACATAACTGAACATATCACATTTACAGGGGAATCCAACTTTGCTCGGAATTTGCTTCAAATGTAAGCAGAAGAATCCGCAAAGTAGGTTGATGGAAGTTTGATCAATGTATGAGATCACTAGACATAGTCTGACATACATTTAAATGTAAAGTGGACTTCAAACAGGCACAAAGGTAATGGATTGCCAGACATGTACAACAACTCTTCTGCTTGAAGCTGGAAAGAACTAGATTGGATTGGATTTGATGGGAATGGGAGATGTAATATAACAACATGCAATCTGTGCTATATCTCAATTGCACAAGTGAGTTCAGTATTACACACAGACAGCAAAATTGTACAACTTTATTTCAAAGTGGAAAGATGCAAAAAGATTCAGTGTAAAATTGACACTCATTTGCTAGTACATATAAATTATGAAATAACATACCTCTATGTGGTACTGGCATGCAAGAAAATTTCAGTGTATAGTATTCATAATATTGGTATATATAAACTACATAATATGAGCTATAATGCACAAGTTTTCATTAATTAATAGGTTTTAAGAAACAATATACAAGCTATAAAGTAAGAGGTTGCTTCAGGTGAAAACTTAGTAATCTTTAAATAAATCAAAATGATCAAGTAGCATGTATACCTCCTGGTGCTGGGATGCCAATAGGTTTCAGTGTTAGCTTGGCCTCATGTTGGTCTCCTGATGTAGCTATGGCCTCAAAATGCCAGGAAGTATCACACTGATCTGGTCTGAAATTAAAATTTAAAAAAAGATTTGAGCATGGGGAATCATGTTTACATCTATATCTGTTCATTGCAAGGAATCAAACTATGGGAAAATCAGACACATAACACACTATTTTGAAGAAGAAAAAAACACAATAACGGTATGCAATAACCTAATGACATCATTACCAAATGGAATTGCAAAACAAGGTCAAAATAAGGTGAGTAATAATTTTTATTGAAACAGCATTATGTTTTACTACCAATCAGCCACAGGTGAAGAAGCCATGAGTAAAATGGTACACATTTAGTTGCTGTACAGGTTAGTTTATTCTTTGGAAGTAATTCAGCATCAATGGGGCTTCCTTTCCATTAGAAATACTGTAACAAACTGCTCACAACCAATAAAATGCAAATTATTTCAATAGCTGATATCTTTAATTCAACTTGTTATTTTAATAAAGAAACAAGTTTTCATGTAACATATGGCCCAGGAAGAAAAAAAAGGTACTTACCCAGACTGAATACCATCTGCACTCATGTGTATGGATCCATCGACATTCAGGGAGTATTGGGAGATGCGTTGATAAGGGTGGACATCGTCTCGTAAAGATTTAATCACGTACCATGCTCCAATATACTAAATATGAGAAAAGAACAGAAGATACAAGACAGATAAAAGAAATGAAACACCAAACAAGTTTAATGGTGTTAAAGATAAAGACCAGTTCTGGTCATGCGATTGCATTGTGAAAGAAACGTGGAATCGATCATAAAAGGTTGATCATCTAGCATAAAAGTATTGGTGTGTACTGCAAGGTTCTGAAATCACCAAAATGATAAGAAATTTGGCCCAGTCTTGATAAAGCTATAAGCACTGTACACAGAAAGATGTATATGGGACTACCCCCACACGTGTGTGACACGTGCGTTATATAGATATAATAATTTACCAAATATATCAATTAGTAGACAGTTTCTCAGCAAAATTTGTATGATCATGTGTTAGTCAAAACATATTCTTTTACATGGTTGGTAATAAGAGCTTCCATTTCATTTTTTGAGAGGGAGGCGTTTCTAAAACTGGTCTTTACCTTTAAAGTCAATGGACTGCAGTGTGGTATACTGGAGGATCTGGTATACACATTCAAAACATCTCCCAACCCTTGTAATTAAACCACCCACATTTTGAGATTGTATCTAAAATTTTCAGAGAAGAAAAGCATGTCTCCTTTAAATAAAAAAAAAATGGTTTCATGTCAAAATGAACAATAAAAATGGGCTTGGTGATCATGACTTGTAAACATGGTTCATTCTAAGGGTTAAAAAATCTACAGGTATGTAAACCACAGCATTAGATTCAATAAAAACACGTTAGTATTAATAAGCATGGTAGTTCACTTCTATGATAAAGAGAGGGTTAAAGCAATTTAAAGATATAATTTACTTACTCGAGACACGTCAAAGTCTTGCATCACTGAAAACTTCTCAACAGAACACCTATCTACAAGAACAAAAAAAACAAAAAATTTAAATACATACAGTTAGTATCTGGAGAGCATTTAGTCTCTATAATACAAATTGTAATAAAGATCTATTTAAATACAATACACATGTATTGAAAACATGTGGTTTTAAAAAGTAACTTGGACATGGCAATATGTTATGCCAGAAAAAAAACTATGAATGACGGAGATGCGTATGCATGGATATGAAATTCATTGGCAAGGTCAAAAGTGACCAGGTGATTTTGTTCATCCCTTTTGTTCTGAAAGAACTTGATATTGGCAACTATTATTACATGGCAATATATGATGCACTTTAAATGTTCACAAGAGAATACTTCTCTAAATAGCTTAATATCATTTTCTTATACTTCGATTATATGAAACATAACAATTATGGACTGTTCTGCAATTCAAAGAACGAAACTAAAATTTAGAGCTAACTCATTAGCAGCTAGTGCAAAATATAATCAATCTAAGTTTCCTTGATGGCACTATCAACATCAAGTAGGTAGGTTATTATACCGGTACTCAACATTCATCAAATACTCATTCATCAAAGATATTACCTGCTCTTGCAACTCCTAAAGCTTCATCACATTCTGAGGAAAAGACAACAAGAAAGAAAAAATAAAATGTGAAAGTGAGAGGAGGAAAGAATTAATAACAGATAAAATTACGTACCGTACTGCAGTCCTTCTACATAATTTTTGTGGAAATTTAGTATTTATCACAGTTAATCATTTCGTTTTTTTTAATAACAATTTTCATATATATCTTTTTGATTATTTATGATTCATTGTCAGAAAAATACTTATCGTAATTTATATAATTATTGTTATCAAAAAACTGTGTACTTACATGAATGCAGTAGAAAATCAAATGAAATCAAATAGTAACTATTATACAATCTATCTAGCATGTTTCTTATTACTGATAGAAAAAGCATATTTAATAACTTTACTGTTATCAATAATATTACTATTATCATGTACTGTCACACAAAATATAACCCTAAAGCTTTTGTTGTGATTATGAAATATGTTCCTGAATCATATAAACTTGAATCAGGATCCTGATATCAAATCATTAAATCTATTCACATATAATGGAGAGATCAACATGGAGAGATAAGAATGGATTTCCACAGAATACAGAAAGGGAAGGAAAGATACACAGAAAGATACAGAAATGCAGTTCTAATTACACATACAGTTAACAACTAAACTATGTATAAACATTGTAAATTTGATGTGTTTTTTGGGGGGTGTCTTTGTAACTCAAGAATGAAAGGTGGACTGGTTTAATTAGGGCATTTATCACATCCTTTTAGATGTAAGCTTGAATACATCACATTCTCAAGAAAAATAAATTGGGACAAATCAATTTTTCACATACTTAAAACATTACAAAATTTGGTATGGGTATGAATAATGAAGTTTTCAACTGTAAATGGTATATAATTTCAGAACCACAAGGGTGTTAACTCTGTTGTAAAGTAAAGGAGTAAACGCCCTTACGGGCCCGTTTCATAAAACTTGTCATCGAAAATAAGTGACAATAACTGTTATAAGCTACTGAAATCGTGGCATCTGATTGGCTGAGAGCAAATTTGTCAGAAATTTATAATTTGTTATTGATAACAAGTTTTATGAAACAGGGCCCTGGTTCCAAACAGCCGATATCCCCCATACCTGATGGTGTATCCACAAGGTTCTGTGGGTCCACACAGAGCGCTCGCATGCGGGACACCAGGTAGCTTCGGGCAAAGTCGGACATCTTGGGATGGCGGCTAAGAAGCCAAATCTTAACTGAATCCTCCTGACAGGTTCCGTCCAGGTTCTTGGTTCCACAGCTGTAGACGAGAGCGGAGCGGGTGTAGTCTGTGTATACTATCCAGTAGTCCTCTGAAATGTTTAAAGGCATCGTTTAACAATGTTAAATCTGAGATGCACGGCCCTAAAAGTTATCAGTGTAAGTGATATGGTGTAATATTGAAACCCTAAACAAAAAATGCGCTTCAAAGTGACCAAAAAGTGCCTCAAAAAAGTAAAAATCTTTGAGTGACCGGTTTTACCATACTTGTTTTCCCCAATAGACTGTAGTGTTATGAAAACCGTTAGGAAAGTTGATTTTGATTTCCAATCATAAGTATCTTGATAATCAGACAAGCGATCGGCTTGTAAAAGTCATGGGGTCCCTGACTGACCTAAAGGTTTATAATTATTATTGCAGTATGAGCTAAATCCAGGATTTTTTTTTTCAGATTCTGAGACAAAACTACCCAATCCCTTTAAGAATTGAACGAAAAAGACACGATGATGATTATAATAAAAAGAAGAAAATGTATTATTCCTAATAACAATAATGAAGGTAATTGAAATCACCATGATAATAACATTGATAATACTGATAATTGTATTGTAATAGAAGAGTTGTGGGTGTAGTCTGTGTATACTATCCAATAGTCCTCTGAAATGATTAAGAATTGAACACAAAAGACATGATGATGATTACAATTAAAAGAAGAAAATGTATTATTCCTGATAACAATAATGAAAGGTAATTGAAATAACCATGATAATAACATAGATACTACTTATAAATGTATTGTAATAGAAGAGTTACCAATGTTTAAAAGGTAGAAGTTTATATTCATTTACAATGGCAATAACAAGAATTTCAGGCATATATCCATAAAATTTTCAAAAACTATAGATACATGGATTATCAAACTAGAGTATAAATTTCAAAGGAATTCCATGATGATGTTGTCATCCACATAATCTTGCTTTCCATACCTTTTGGACTGATTTTATTCTATTTTTACTACAAGCACAATTTAAGTTGAATTAATGGAGTTATTGAAGATCAAGAGTAATGGATGGTTTAATCTTTAGACACAGTACAGGCTTCAGACTCCATACCTCCTTCTACGTCCATGCCTCTTGGTTTCAGAGACAGTTTGGATGATGAAGTCGACTCGGCAGGTTGGGATGCGGCCGCTTCAAAGCGCATGGCACTATCGCAGGCTCCTTGTCTATAGTGAATACAATACAATCACATTTATTCAGTTTCACTTTACATTTCTTGGGCTATGACGGGCAGTAACATTGATCACAAGTGTTTGGACAACCGTGAAACCCAGTAAAAGATTAACACAAGGTGGCATAGTTTTCCTGGAATATGGCACTTGTAGGTGATTGATTACAAAATTGGGTCCGTCCAGAAAGTTGGGGCACTTTTTGTGACATACTAGAAGTGAGAAACTATGTCTTCTATCAACTGTAACAAAGTTTGCTCAAATTGAGTTTTGCATAAAAAGCATAGCCAACTATCTTCAGAAGAACTCGAGCTTCATGGTTAATCAATATTATGGACCCAAAGTTGATGTAATGATACATGAATATGGTGTCCATGTAACGCTGGTAAAAAGATAAATGTGTAGCACAGATTTTGAAGAAAAGCAACGGAAACAGGAACAATTCTAGCAGGGCACTTCTATTATCTATTCATTACATAAAAACCTTCAACATATAATTTCATATTCCATGTGTAGTAGAAGATCATACCTACGTTACATGGACACCTTTATGGAATGAACCATATTTCTCCTGGAATATGGCACTTGATTGATTAAAACATGCACCCAGAAAACAAAGAAATCAGGAGATAAATATCACTATTAACAATGTTAACAATAATCCTTTAGTCTAAAAATGAGTAAGTGTGCTTTTACAGTGTCACTAATTTTAACCAATTTATACTACAAAACGATATTTCAAGGGACAATTGTTAAACAACTTTTCTGTAGAACAGTTCAATGCTGTATTTGAATACATCTACTGTACCATATTGTAAAGACACAACTGTACAAAAGCAAAGACCACATGTAAGTATTGAACCAAACTTAAAGCTCCTTACTCTGTGATACGCTCAGTTGCCATGGTAAAAGAGCCATCCGTCTCCAGTGTATAGTTAGAGATGCGTTGGTAGGGGTAGACGCTCTCCTCGAGATGTGAGATGACATACCATGTTCCTTGGTACTACAAAGATTTACAACAACAACAAAAAAGGAAATCAGAGTAAGTTATTGTGAGACCCATCACATTTCCTGATGAAAATGGTCCCCAAATGTACTCTAAAATGTGAAGGGACATCATCGGGGGATATCTAAAAAGCCAAATCTAGGGAAGTAAACTCATTCAAGTATTAATAATATTTATAGTATTGTCTTATTTAGCCTCATCATAGATAGATTGATAGATAGTTTATTGGTTTCCACAATATCTCATTTTTCAAAGAGTGTAACAACATATTGAAAAATGAATATAACATGTACATACGATACCGGTACACACTAGTCAGAAAATTGTCCTTCAGTTGAACTTAAGATATATAGTGGCAGAGCCTATGGAAAAGCAGAGCTTGTTGTGGATAAAAGTTGTCATTACTAATACTGCTCTTCTTGAGGGCCCGGCATTCATATCATTAACCCAGCTTGAGCCCCAATTAAGGTGCTCAAAAACTCAGGAAATATTTTTGTAATAGGTACCCGTACCCACTTAATTTACCTTTGTGGAGGGTGGCAAATGCAAATGAATGTCTTGTCAAATGACACGAGTGCTGTGGAAGAGATTTGATCCTTTTACCATTACAGTTTAGTGACTTCATCCACTTTACACCCCAACATGTGGTATGCTATTAAAGCAGGACTACACTACTTGTAGCTACTTGCTCCCTCTATATAGCAAACAAAGCGGTGACCAGTGGTACCCCATGATCCCCTTTTTCTTATGTTAATTGAGAGCTGATTTGATGAGATAACCACCTGTCAGTGACCGTGCAGGGAGGTCTAATCCCTCCTGGCCAAACTAGTACAGACAGGCTTAAAACTTACTCGCTCCTTGTCGAAGCTCTGCATGGTCTCAAAGCTATGCACAACACATTCATTGGCTGGACCTGTACATGAAAATAGACAGAAGGATTTATTCACAACCCTGTTTGTTCTAGACCCTTTTTACTTAAAGGCAACCCGACATCAATATGATATTTCCCACACAAGTTTTAAAAAAAATAATAATACAAAACTAGATGGAATTTTGACTGCGCGCAGTCGAAAATGATGCATCCGCCATAGAGCAATTTCAACAAGTTTGGAGTTTAAATCTCCAGTGGTTCTTGAGATATCATGATAACAATCTCAATGTATGGAATTTCATAAGTTGACCTCTGTGACCCTTGACCTTTGACCTTCGTGCTCCAAAATCTAATCAGATTGTCTTCCTATGGTGATACACACTATCATTAAGTTTGAAGTTTAAATCTCCAGTGGTTCTTGAGATATTATGATAACAATCTCAATGTATGGAATTTCATAAGTTGACCTCTGTGACCCTTGACCTTTGACCTACGTGCTCCAAAATCTAATCAGATTGTCTTCCTATGGTGATACATACTATCCTTAAGTTTGAAGTTTTTACATCTCCAGTGGTTCTTGAGATATCATGATAACAATCTCAATGTATGGAATTTCATAAGTTGACCTCAATGACCCTTGACCTTTGACCTACGTACTCCAAAATGTAATCAGATTGTTTTCCTATAGTGATACACACTATCACTAAGTTTGAAGTTTAAATCTCCAGTGGTTCTTGAGATATCATGATAACAATCTCAATGTATGGAATTTCATAAGTTGACCTCTGTGACCCTTGACCTTTGACATACGTGCTCCAAAATCTAATCAGATCGTCTTCCTATGGTGATACATACTATCCTTAAGTTTGAAGTTTAAATCTCAAATGGTTCTTGAGATATCGCGCTAACAAACTCAATACAAGGAATTTCATAAGTTGACCTCTGTGACCCTTGACCTTTGACATACGTGCTCCAAAATCTAATCAGATCGTCTTCCTTTGGTGATACATCCTATCCTTAATTTTGAAGTTTAAATCTCAAATGGTTCTGGAGATATCGCGCTAACAAACTCAATACAAGGAATTTCATAAGTTGACCTCTGTGACCTGTGACCTTTGACCTACGTACTCCAAAATCTAATCAGATCGTCTTCCTATGGTGATAAATACTATTCCCGAGTCTTAAGTTTAAATCTTAAATGGTTCTTGAGATATTGTGATAACGGTCAAACGAGAGACGTACGGACGGACAACCCGAAAACATGATGCCTCCGGCACCACCTTCGGTGGCGGAGGCATAAAAATATATATTTTCCTCAAAAATGCTGAACCACCCCGGACCTTCTAATTTCGGCCCGAAAGTTGTGATAATTCAAATTTTTACAATATTTGCCCCTACACCCCTTTCAAAGGGATATGGGGGTCAGGATCCATCTAATGGCAAGTATGTACATTCATTGTGGGGAAACTAGCCTATTCAAAAAATATAATATTTTCCTCCAAAATGCTGAACCACCCCGGCCCTTCCAATTTCGGCCGGAAAGTTGTGATAATTCAAATTTTTACAATATTTGCCCCTTGGCCCCTTTCAAAGGGATATGGGAGTCAGGATCCATCTAATGGCATGTATGTACATTCATTGTGGGAAAACTAGCCTATTCAAAAAATATAATATTTTCCTCCAAAATGCTGAACCACCCCGGCCCTTACCATTTCGGCCGGAAAGTTGTGATAATTCAAATTTTTACAATATTTGCCCCTTGGCCCCTTTCAAAGGGATATGGGAGTCAGGATCCATCTAATGGCATGTATTTACATTCATTGTGGGAAAACTAGCCTATTCAAAAAATATAATATTTTCCTCCAAAATGCTGAACCACCCCGGCCCTTACCATTTCGGCCTGAAATTGGTGTTTATTCAAATTATCACAATATTTGCCCCTACGCCCCTTTAAAAGGGATATGGGGGTCAGGATCCATCTAATGGCATGTATGTACATTCACTGTGGGGAAACTAGCCTATTCAAAAAATATAATTTTTTCCTTCAAAATGCTGAACCACCCCGGCCCTTACAATTTCGGTACGAAAGTTGTGATAATTGAAATTATCACAATATTTGCCCCTACGCCCCTTTCAAAGGGATATGGGGGTCAGGATCCATCTAATGGCATGTATGTACATTCATTGTGGGGAAACTAGCCTATTCAAAAAATATAATTTTTTCCTTCAAAATGCTGAACCACCCCGGCCCTTACAATTTCGGTACGAAAGTTGTGATAATTGAAATTATCACAATATTTGCCCCTACGCCCCTTTCAAAGGGATATGGGGGTCAGGATCCATCTAATGGCATGTATGTACATTCATTGTGGGGAAACTAGCCTATTCAAAAAATATAATTTTTTCCTTCAAAATGCTGAACCACCCCGGCCCTTACAATTTCGGTACGAAAGTTGTGATAATTGAAATTATCACAATATTTGCCCCTACGCCCCTTTCAAAGGGATATGGGGGTCAGGATCCATCTAATGGCATGTATGTACATTCATTGTGGGGAAACTAGCCTATTCAAAAAATATAATATTTTCCTCCAAAATGCTGAACCACCCCGGCCGGCCCTTACCATTTCGGCTTGAAATTGGTGTTTATTCAAATTATCACAATATTTGCCCCTACGACCCTTTCAAAGGGATATGGGGGTGAGGATCCATCTAATGGCATGTATGTACATTCATTGTGGGGAAACTAGCCTATTCAAAAAATTTAATTTTTTCCTTCAAAATGCTGAACCACCCCAGCCCTTACCATTTCAGCCCGAAAGTTGTGATAATTCAAATTTTTACAATATTTGCCCCTACTCCTCTTTCAAAGGGATATGGGGGTCAGGATCCATCTAATGGCATGTATGTACATTCATTGTGGGGAAACTAGCCTATTCAAAAAATATAATATTTTCCTCCAAAATCCTGAACCACCCCGGCCCTTCCAATTTCGGCTCGAAATTTGTGATAATTCAAATTTTTAAAATAATTTTTCCCTTCTCCCCTTTCAAAGGGATATGGGGGTCAGGATCCATCTAATGGCATGTATGTACATTCATTGTGGGGAAACTAGCCTATTCAAAAAATATAATTTTTTTCTTCAAAATGCTGAACCACCCCGGCCCTTACAATTTCGGCATGAAAGTTGTGATAATTCAAATTTTTACAATATTTGCCCCTTCGCCCCTTTCAAAGAGATATGGGAGTCAGGATCCATCTAATGGCATGTATGTACATTTATTGTGGGGAAACTAGCCTATTCAACAAAAAAAAATATTTTCCTCCAAAATGCTGAAACCACCCCGGCCCTTACAATTTTGGCACGAAAGTTGTGATAATTCAAATTTAAATTTTTTTTTTCCCTTCTCCCCTTTCAAAGGGATATGGGGGTCAGGATCCATCTAATGGCATGTATGTACATTCATTGTGGGGAAACTAGCCTATTCCAAAAATATAATTTTTTCTTCCAAAATGCTGAACCACCCCGGCCGGCCCTTACCATTTCGGCCTGAAATTGGTGTTTATTCAAATTATCACAATATTTGCCCCTACGCCCCTTTCAAAGGGATATGGGGATCAGGATCCATCTAATGGCATGTATGTACATTCATTGTGGGGAAACTAGCCTATTCCAAAAATATAATATTTTCTTCCAAAATGCTGAACCACCCCGGCCGGCCCTTACCATTTCGGCCTGAAATTGGTGTTTATTCAAAGTATCACAATATTTGCCCCTACGCCCCTTTCAAAGGGATATGGGGGTCAGGATCCATCTAATGGCATGTACGTACATTCATTGTGGGGAAACTAGCCTATTCAAAAAATACAATTTTTTCCTTCAAAATGCTGAACCACCCCAGCCCTTACAATTTCGGCATGAAAGTTGTGTTTATTCAAATTATCACAATATTTGCCCCTACGTCCCTTTCAAAGGGATATGGGGGTCAGGATCCATCTAATAGCATGTATGGACATTCATTGTGGGGAAACTAACCTATTAAAAAAAAAAAAAATTTTCCTCAAAAATGCTGAACTACCCCGGACCTTCTAATTTTGGCCCGAAAGTTGTGATAATTCAAATTTTTACAATATTTGCCCCTACACCCCTTTCAAAGGGATATGGGGGTCAGGATCCATCTAATGGCATGTATGGACATTCATTGTGGGGAAACTAACCTATTAAAAAAAAATATATTTTCCTCCAAAATGCTGAACCACCCCGGACCTTCTAATTTCGGCCCGAAAGTTGTGATAATTCAAATTTTTAAAATATTTTTTTCCCTTCTCCCCTTTCAAAGGGATATGGGGGTCAGGATCCATCTAATGGCATGTATGTACATTCATTGTGGGGAAACTAGCCTATTCCAAAAATATATTTTTTTCTTCCAAAATGCTGAACCACCCCGGCCGGCCCTTACCATTTCGGCCTGAAATTGGTGTTTATTCAAATTATCACAATATTTGCCCCTACGCCCCTTTCAAAGGGATATGGGAGTCAGGATCCATCTAATGGCATGTATGGACATTCATTTTGGGGAAACTAACCTATTAAAAAAAATATATATTTTCCTCAAAAATGCTGAAATACCGCGGACCTTCTAATTTTGGCCCGAAAGTTTGTGATAATTCAAATTTTTACAATATTTGCCCCTACACCCCTTTCAAAGGGATATGGGGGTCAGGATCCATCTAATGGCATTTATGTACATTCATTGTGGGGAAACTAGCCTATTCAAAAAATATATTTTTTTCCTTCAAAATGCTGAACCACCCCGGCCCTTACAATTTCGGCCCGAAAGTTGTGATAATTCAAATTTTTAAAATAATTTTTCCCTTCTCCCCTTTCAAAGGGATATGGGGGTCAGGATCCATCTAATGGCATGTACGTACATTCATTGTGGGGAAACTAGCCTATTCAAAAAATATAATTTTTTCCTTCAAAATGCTGAACCACCCCAGCCCTTACAATTTCGGCATGAAAGTTGTGTTTATTCAAATTAT